TGCCGCCGCCGCCGCCGCTGCTGCCGCCGCTGCTGCTGCTGCTGCTGCCCGGGAGGCGGCTGGCGGCGGAGGCTCGGCTCCCAGTAGCCGCGCATCCCACAATACACCGCTAAGGAGCCCGACCCGAGCGCTCACCCTCCTCCTCTTCCTCCTCCTCCTCCTCCTCCCCTCGCCTTCCTCGTCGCTTTCCCCGGCGGCGGCAGCTGCGCCTCCGAAGCCCCGGGCCCCGGCGGCCCCCACCCCTCGCTCGCGCGCTCCCACACTGCGCCCCCCTCCCCGGGGGAAGGCCTCTTAATTTATTTATTCTGCCGGGACGGGCTGGGGTGGGGGGCTCGGCTGGCGGGGGCGGGGGGCTCCCCGGGCTCTACCTCCCCGCGGCCGGCTGCCCTCGGAGGGAGCCCGGGCCGCCGCCGCGGCGTGCGCCTCGGGCCTTCCGAACTGTTTGCAAACTGCCAAGACCGGAGGTGGGCTCGTGGGGGCGCGGGGCGCGGGGAGGGGGCGCGGGCTCGGTTTTAGGGGGGCCGAGGGTGTGTTTGGAGACCGGGGCGGGGGGGGGAGAGCAACTGGCCGACGTCGACCCAAGGCGAGCTGCCATCGAGGCGTCGGGGCCCCGGCGCCCGCCCCAGCCCGGCGACCCCCTCCCCACCCCCAGCCCCGGGCGCCGAGCCGGGGCGGAGGAGCCAGGATTTAACCACCGTCCGGGAGGAAGCGGCCGGGCCTGGGCCGGGAGAGACGAGCTCGCGGGCTTTATTATTTTCTTTCTTTCTTTTCTCTGTTTTTATTTTTGGAGGGGAGCGCCCCGTAATTGTCGTGAACACATGCTTCTCTCCTCGTTCTCACCGCCCCCCCTCCATCCAGCCAGCAGCAAGCGAGGGAGAGAGGAGAGTCCCCCCTCTTTTGCATGTGTCTTTTCCTTCCCCCTTTCTTTATTAAAGGTCCGGGAGTGGCGACGGCCAATCGGTGCGCGGCTTCCATTTTGTGAGCTCAGTTCGGAGGCTCCGGGCTCTCAGGGGCGCGCTGGCAGCCCGGTCCGCCTCTCCGGGCCGGGCGGCCGAGGCGAAAACAGCCGCCTCGTTGGGGCTTGGAGGTGGTGTGTTTCACGTTGGGGCTCTTTTCGGGGTTTGGAGTTTGGCCTTGGGTAGGTAATTGGCAGGGCGCGGCAGCCAATCAGAGCGCGGCTTCTATCGGGCTTGAGTTATTAGACGCTGATCTCAACCCATCCTTCATCAGACACCAAGGAGAGGCCAAGAGATGAGGGAAGCCATTTTTCTGCAATGGAATTAAATGGCCAAGTGGGTTTTTCCTTTGTTGCAAATGGGGAACGTTTTTCCTTTGACTCCACCATCCAGTTTCAGGACGCCTGAGTGTGTTGTTTAACATTTGTCAGCAGGCTTAAAGGACTCACAGTTGGAAGAATTGAAGAAGACCTTTTAAAAAGATCTGGATTTTTCCTTATGACTTGGAATCCATCTTTGTCTTGTATAACTAGGTCATAGCACACCATTCATGTCAGCAGTTAACAGTTTTGAATTCCAAAAAAAAAAACCTAAGTAAACGACATATTTAATTTTTTTTCCTCTTTTTTCTTGGGTGGTTCGGTGGGAAGCTTCGAGCTGTCTTTAAGTCTGTGTTCTCTTGATTGAACAATAAATTTTTAAGTCTAGTTTCCTCTATTAAACACTTAAACCTGGCCATCTTATTAACTCCTCTCTTTTTAACAAGGTAATGTTTTAAATGTATAGTTTTAGGATTAAGTGAAATGACAGCAACAAAAAAAATTGTGAGCAGTTGTTACTCTTTAAATTGTTTTTCTTTCTTTAAAAAACCTTTTTATATATTGTAAGTACCCAGTCCATTCTGTCCTTCTACAGTTTAGTTTTCATGTTAATGTTGGCTGAGATGTCCTTAATTTTCCGAACCTTCATCTGCATGTATGTTGTTTCGTTTCTCTTGTCTAACGCTGTCAGGTTGAAATGCTTTTTAGACGCTTTGCTTTTATAAAGCTAAGGTCTTCGCCTCGAGCTTTTGAGAATGCCTACTGCAGTAAATGCTAGTCAGCTTTCTTCCCAGTAATTTGTACATGTTCCTTGAAAATCGATCTATTTGAAGAAAAACATAGCTGTTTTTCTCCTCTTGCCTGGGGGGAGGGGAGGTGAAAGGAAGACCTTCTCTTTGTGTGGAAATACTAAAGCGGTCACAGGAAACTAGATTAGAACTAGAAAACAAGTCCTAGCTGCTTGGAGCCAAACACCTACGATAGCTCGGTGCTGTTTTTCTATGGTGGTTTGGGGTGGCTGGTGAGCCTTTTTTGCCTTTGATTTGACTGTGTGTTTTCGCCTTTTGTCTCTTAATGACGGTCACACCATGGCCATATAGAGCAGTAAACAGCCCTCCGCGAAGCCGCCTTTTTGCCAACCCACCTCTGGAAAGTTTGCGGACGTGGAAGGAGCAGAAAAATGCCCCGAAGTGTAACTTACAAAAAGGTAACATCAACAGCAAAGACAGACAGTGCCATAGCCCCAAATCTCCCCAGGTAAACAACCCCCCAAACTATTCTGATCACAAACATCTCCAAAAGTCACCGCCCAGCTTCATCCGCTGAGACTGCACGGCACCGGGCTGAGCGGGTAAGTAAAAAAAGAAGAGGAAAAAAGAAAAAGCGCCGTGGCCCCTTCGAGGAAACGCTCTTCCCGCAGGCCGAGGCCGGCTGGAGCCGAGGGCGAGGGCTCCTGGCGCGGTGCGCTCGGCTTCCGGAGCGGGAAGGGGGAGGCGGGGGCCGAGCGGGGCGCCCCGGGCCCCCGGAGGAAGGGGAGCGGGCGAGGGGCTCCTCGGGGCCGAGCCTCGGTGGGGACCGGGGGTCGGAGAGAGTCCTACGGCGAGGAAGCCTCCCCCGACCTTAGGGCTCGCTTTCCCGGTGGTCGTGCACGGTTTGCGCCCCGGAATCGTCTTTCGGGGCTCCAGGGTGCGCCTGCGCCAGCAGAGCGGAAAAAAGGACAAAAGGCCGGCGTCCATGTTGGCACCGTGACGCAGCGCCTCGCCCGCCCGGCCCGGCGCCCGCCGCTGCTCCCGCCCCAGCCCCGGAGGTTTCTTCCG